TCTACCGTTTTCGAGTAAGAACATATTCCCTTTGTACTTCATAGAAAAAAGAAAGAAATTAAAGATACACTTCAGGAATTTTATGATGAAAGATGAGATTTATATATGTTATTGGAATATGTACAGAAATAAAGTTATAGCATGTCTTTAGAAATTCTATTTGTATACGGAATCATAGTTATTTATAGAACTTTAAACTGGAATATTTTATAAGAGAAAATAACTTATTAATTTTATTAATAACTTATTAACTTATTAATTTTTTATTTACTCAAGGCAACGCTAATTCACTATTTGGTTTTAAGGAGTCCATTTCTTACTGAGGCAGAGGATCTCACACAGTCACTCATATATCCTCTCTTCTTCTTCCTGTGTGCACAGCTAGACTTTCTGCCTATCTCCTCTTTTCAACAAGGAGTTATTGCGTGATCAAGTTTCTAACTGATGGATTGTAAAATGTACTGAATATTTGCCTGACCTTGAAAATTTTTCAAGAAATCCTCTCCATTTCTTTATCTTTAGTTTTTAAGAATAGAGATGATAACCAATGTGATCTTGCAAGTCACAAAAATGGCAGCAGGATAAGGATTTTCTATTTGTTCATTTACCTTATATTTTCAACGACTGATAAATACATTTTTGTTGTGTTTCAGTCTGTATAAACTTGTGGTCTTTTCTGAATAGAAGTCAGGCTATTATGACTAACAGTAATTATAATAATACCAGTAATAATTGCTAGTATTCTATTTGTTATTAGATTATATTCTGTGTTATGTTTATAATCATAATTTTTTAAAAAAGGTTAGGACATCAGCAAGGTAGCAGAATAAAAGTTTTTAACAATTATGTCCCAATTGAAACTTCCATTTGAATAGCTACCAATGCATAAATGCTACAAATGTGTAAATTCATTTGTGAGAGCTAAGGAATCAAAGTGAGAGATTAAAGCACCTGAAAGAAGCCCAGAAATAAGAAAAGATGTATTGAAAAGAATGAAACTTTCACATTAGCTGCAATATCCCTTCCCTGATCCTATGCAACACAGCACAGTGAGAAACAACTTCTACATTGAATAAGAGAATGAAGTGAGCACCCAAAGTTCTTTGCCATGAAACTAAAGACCAAGTTGGTCTGAATGACTTTTGAGACCAGTTTTTGAGGCCCCAAGTTCTAGATTGACACCTATGAATTCAAGATGTAGAACAGCTCCTGTGAACTTAGGCCTCCATGGGCCTGCTATAGTGCTAAGCTAGTCCCAAGGACTCAATAATTAGGCAAACCCTAGCAAACCAACACATGAGACCCACTTCAGAGCCAGGCAGCCCCTATAAACTCAGACTTTCATATGATACCAGACTTTAACATGGATACTAGACAGTGACACTCAGTACTGGGGCCAACTTCACTGCAACTGCCAGAGTTTGGTCCATTATGTTTTTTTCAAGAAGCCCCTGTGCATAAAATAAAAGTGCAAGGCAAAAAAACAAGTGCTGATGTAGAAGCTCTTGCAAGTTATCTAGAAGGTCTTG